TTGCTAGCAATTTCTCAGCACAGACATTTTTAACACTTTAAAAGTTGACCTAACTTGAAAAAATAAGGCAACCTATCGCAGTCAACTTGTTAAGTTAACTCAGCAACCAACAACTTAAAAACTTTAGTTCATTTAATGAATAAAAGTCAGTCTACTGAGTGTTAAAAGATCTGTCAGAGCAACCAAAGACTTTTTAACATTTAGCAATGCTAATCTTTTTTTAACAATCCTCTTTCTTTTAGATTTTTGTTTATTTTCAAAGCCTTCTACATAATATAGGTAGTATTTGGCTCTTAAAACTAAAGGCAAACATTTATGCTGATAGACAATGTATTAAACCAGGGGTGCCCAAACTCGGTCTTGGAGGGCCGGTGTCCTGCAGAGTTTAGCTCCAACTTGCCTCAACACACCTGCCTGGAAGTTTCTAGTATGACTAGTAAGAGCTTGATTAACTGGTTCAGGTGTGTCTAATTGGGGTTGGAGCAGGACGCCGGAACCTGGAACTCTGCAGGACACCGGCCCTCCAGGACCGAGTTTGGGCACCCCTGTATTAAACAATTTGCAATGAGATGCACATACATAGTAATTTAGCACACGATTCTCAACCATGGTGAGGATCAACAAATTTTAAATGAGTAAAAATATGAACTCTGATCCACATGACAGCTGACTGACATAAACAAAGCCAGTCAAATTTAAAACAATGATAATATTTTAATAATAATTAACATAAAATATTTTTAAACTGCAATGCATGTGTCAGACTCTGTTCCGTGTTTTGCTTCCTATGTTTCCTTTTGTCCTTATTTGGTCTTCCTGTTCCGTTTCCCTGATTAGATTTATTTGTCCCAGGTGTTTCCAATGTTCATTATGTCATTGATTTCAGGTGTTTTTCATTGTGTCCCTCCTCTAGTCCTGTATTTAATGGTTTCCTGTTTTGAGTTCGCTGTCCGGAATTGTGAATGTCTGTTGATGTTAATGCCTTTGCTACGTGTGTTTTCCTGGTTCCCTTGATATAATTAAAATCCCCTTATTGATGTACTCCTGGTCTCCTCGTTCCTCGCTCCGCGCTCCCTCACAGTAGCACTGTGACAGCGTGACAGAAAAATATTTTTACATTGGTTAGTAGAATTTTTCGAAAGTTGGATTTTTTTTACAGTGAACTTGAATATGAAAATAGAAATCTTTCGTAACAATATACACTACTGTTCAAAATTTTGGGGTCAGTAGTTTTCTTTCCTTTTTTTGAAGGAAAATAATATTTTTATTCAGCAAGGATGTATTAAATTGCTCAAACGTGATAGTAAAGATTTACATTGTTAGAAAAAAATTCTGTGTTTTGAATGAATGCTATTTTTTTTTTACTTTTTATTCATCAAAGTATCACAGATAACCCCCAAAGATTAGCATATTTATCAATATTAGCATATTAGAATTTCTGGAGGATCATGTGACACTGAAGACTGGAGAAATGGCTGATGAAAATGTCAGCTTTGCCACCACGTAAAGTATATTTTAAAGTATATTAAAATGAAAATTATTATTTTAAGTTGTAATGTTTCACAATATTTGTTTTTTTCTGTATTTTTTTATCAAATAAATGCAGTCTTGATGACTCATGAGCATAAGAGACTTCTTAAAAATCAAAAATCTTTATGATCCCAAACTTTTGCACGAATGTGTGTTTGTGTATACATATTAAAATGTGTTGAGAGTACTACTCTTATTTGTAGCTGAAATTGTAACCAAATTAAGCAAAATATTAAATAAGCAGATAATTGGTAATAATAGGTGAGCTGAGTCCCACACTCTCTCGCTCACTATTCGCATTTCTCCAGCTTTAAGAAGAGATGGTGTTGACGTAACTTCTGTAGGACCTGCTGAACGTGTTGGCGATGTTCGGCCACGTTCCGGGAGTAAATGAGTATATCGTCGATGTAGACAATCACAGAGCGGTGGAGGAACTCCCAGAACACCTCATTAATGAATCCTTGGAAGATAGACGGGGCATTGGCTAGCCCATACGGCATTACCAGGTACTCATAGTGGCCAGATGGTGTAATGAATGCCGTCTTCCACTCATCGCCCTCCCGGATGTAACTGAGTGGCTGCCTGCTTACTGAAGACATCCTGGAACGCCAAGTAATCAGATGGGACTGTGACCTTCTCCCGAGGTTCGGGGCTTTCGATGAGGGTAGATGCAACTTGAGCGGAGTGAGATCCTGGGAGCAGAGTGGGTAATGACGTGAGACAGTTACGGTGACAGTGCTCGCTCCAGTGAGTCACCTCATACGAGTCCCATCTGATCTCTGGAGAATGGAGAACTAACCAGGGGCGTCCCAGGATGATATCCACGGTGGGTCCCTCCAGTACCAGAAACATGATTTCCTCCTCGTGGAGAGTGCCAATCTTGAGCCGTAGTGTGATTATCCGGGCTGGTGACTGCAGTGACTGTGATGAATCCCTGACAGTTATATTGTGTAACACTAACACAAATCTACTGGGTTGCATAGTGATTTCCTGGAATGGACTAGTTTGAGTTATTAGCTTTGAGATTTCAACAATATGTCACAGGTTGCTTCATGCAGGGTTAAATCTGTAACATAAAGACACAGAGGGAATATAAACATGAAACATATGTTTCCTTTGCATCATGAACAGAGAGTTGCATGTTTCCCTATCACCCATATGCCCTGGAGCCAACTGTTGGCTCAGTTATGAGGAAAAGAAAATACGATAGTGAATTGTGGTCCCCTATGACCGCAATTCACTCATCGTAGAGATAAGATGTGGGCTTTCCTTGAACCATCGCAGGGTTCCTCGAACAGCCACATACAGTTCGCAGAACATCCCACTGTAATTTGCAAAAGTTTTAGGGTCAATATGATCCAGAGATTTTTGTAGTATGACTCACTGAATCTATGGGTACTTTTCATGTGTACATGTGTGGTTTTCTAAGAATTTGGGATTCAAGAATCTTGAAATCTGTCTAAAAAAGTGCTTGTAAAAATGTTAGGGTTATTATCGGACAAATCTGGCCTCGGTATAATTTTGTCGTCCCACAAGGACAAACTGTTCCCACCTTTCACAGCCTCAGGACAAACAACACAGACAAACTACTACTGCACTCTACCTGCTGCTGACTTTGATAGAATTAACCTTTACAAATATTTCCATGGTAGCCAGTTTCTACCAAAACAGCATACTAATTTACTACAGGTATTGTTACTACTGTTAATCCATCATAAAATAATATGGATCTCATTCAGACAGTGTTTTAAAAATCTAATTACTAATTACAAATACCAAATTACCATCGTTTTCCTGTAGTAACAATAACTAGTAACTGTTAAATTATGTAAACTATAATTGGTAAAAGAAATGAAACTGATTGATTGATGTCTATGAGTCTGTGTGCATAAAATATAATTATAATTCTGTATATAAATGTTTATTTTTATTTCTAGTTCACCACTTGGCAGAGCGTGTCATATCAATGGAAAATCCTCAGCAGCGCCTCCTGTAAGTTTGTAATTTTCCTCCTGTGGTCAGAGGGAGGTTTATGTATTTTGTAAAGCAAAAAAGCGACGCACGTGCTTGATGACTAATAGTCCTCATGGCACTTCATAACCTGTGGGTATGTTTACTACATACCATACTACACCTACCGACAGCGTTCACGCATGTGCTGCTAGTACTCACTGCCCACTTCTACTGCTAGTAACAGTTTTTCTATAGTCTCAAAATAATTGACAATCGAAAAATTTTATTCAATTTAAAAATATATATTTTTATCTAAAAAAAATATATATTTATATTATTTATATTAGTATTTCCTTTTTTAATTAAATTATATTAAATGTTTATGGATAAACATGTTTGAGAAAATAAATGTTAAAAAAGGTTTGCATACAGCGACCCGAGTTCGAATCCCGCCTCGAGGTCCTTTGCTGATCCCGCTCCCCTCTTCTCCACCCCAATACTTTTCTGTCATCTCTCCACTGTACTCTCAAAACAAAAGGCACAAAAAGCTCATAAATATAACTTCACAAAAAAAAGTTTGCATTTATTAATTAATTGTATATTTTCTTTTTGATGTCAGTGGGTCATAGTCTTTAGCCCCATCCCCCAAAATCTTTTCATTTAAGATTTTGAAAGCAAGTTGAAATCTTTTATTATTATTATTATTATTATTATTATTTTTAATTAATGTGTGGTTCTCATGACAATTGTCAAGAATGTGTCCGTATCAAATTTCTCCTCAAAATCGAAAGAAAAACTATAAACTAATTATTTATTTATTTATTCATTCATTTACTAATATAATATACATACACATACACATATATGTGTGTGTATACATAGGTGTAAATGTGTTGTATGTATACATACATTTATATATAGAAAATTGTGTGTGTGTGTATAGTCTATGTACATTTATGTACATGTATGCATTTATATAATTATATACATATATTTATATACTTGTATGTAAAATAAATATAGCATCTATTTATTTGGGGATAATACATAGATGCTAAAATACATAGATGCTATAAATAAATAGCACTTGTGTATCAATGCTCTTTTGTTGATTTTGATTGCTTCCATTGTCCTCATTTGTAAGTCGCTTTGGATAAAAGCGTCTGCTAAATGATAAAATGTAAATATAATGTAATGTAAAGTACATTTTATGTTAGAAACATATGTATTTATACACCACAGTCGATTTTACTGCCGTTAATTTATGCTGATTTATTTTTGTAATTATTGTTTTCGTAATGCAACCAAACTGCAATGAATTGCATAATGCATTCTCACTGTGATAAAATCTTTCATATCTGATCTCGCGCAGAGCTCCAGTGATCTAGAAGCGCACTTGCTGCGTAGTATGTAGTATACAGTGTGTAGTGTGCAGCGTACGTGAGCGTTCCATTCTCTGTTTTCCTTAAGCGGGACTGAGGGGAGGGTTGAGCTCCAAATGACGTTACCGAGCCCGATAAAACACCGAGCGGCTTCACGCGGACGCATCAGACAGTCCGTCCGCGCGCACAGAGCGACAGCAGCAGCAGCCGCAGCTCCCGTAGACACCGACTCGCGTCTCATTGATACATTCTGGGTGTTAAATACCGACGAGAACGATGGTCTGAAGAGATTTAGGCGACCAATTCGTGAATGTAATTCCATTACATTCATCTGATCAGCGCGCGTAAAGGGCCGCTTTGGTTTCGCCGTCTCCTCAGTCGCCTTCTCTCTGAGAGATACAAGTGCCCATGCGATTCTTCAGACTCACCTTTAAGTGTTTCGTGGATTGTTTTTGAAGGTGCTGTTTCAAATCGGTGTCATTTTCTTTTATGGTCTATTATTTCATTTCCAAACGCGCTTTTTGATCAAACAAACCAATAATACCGTTGCCAATTACGCCGAGAGACTCAAACTGCCATCCCTTGTAACCGTTTGACATCGAGAAGAAACGGAAAATACATTCGTAAAGAATAACACTGCTGGTTTTATTAAATAAAAGGATAAAGGACCAGATCCTGTGCACCTGAAGAGGGACAAAAGGGACGTCTTGGTGTGAATAAAAGAAACTGACTTCATCCAAGAACAATAAGAGATCAAATCTTTATTTCTGACTGCTGATTTAAGCCCTTCTCGAGTCTCGTGAGGAGGTTCGTTTGCTTTGTTTACACGAGAGATGGAGAAATCCTCTCTGGACGCAGACTGCTGCGCCCTGAACTCGGTCCTGGTGGAGGAGAAGAAGGGCCATCTCATTCCCAATGGAAACACGCATCAAGGCGTCAATGGGACCCTCAACGGCGGGCCCATATCAGCCGCCGCTGGAGCCATATCGTCGGCGGCGGCGGCGGAGAAGAAGCAGGGCTTCCCCGAGCGAGAGACGTGGAACAGACAGATGGACTTCATCATGTCCTGTGTGGGGTTCGCCGTGGGGCTGGGGAACGTCTGGCGCTTCCCGTACCTGTGCTACAAAAATGGTGGAGGTAAGACGTCTTGATGACTCTCTGCAGCACATTCAGATCCCTTCAGATGCCCCCCCCACCCCTCTCCCCCTCTCCCCGTGACGTCACTTCACGGTGGAGGACACCTCCTGTGTGTCTGAACTGACTCATTCATTCATTCATTCATTGCCTTTGCCAAGCATATCTCTTAATGACGGGTGAAATTACTGTTCATATCATTAACAAATAGTTTAGAATGCAGTAGTATTATTATGTATGTATATATTATATATAATTGTATGCATGTGCGTATATGTAAATGTGTGATATGAATACCTTGAAAACATAAGAGGCTCATTACTTTTGGACACTTAAGAAGCATTCATAATATATATATATTTATATGAATGGATATATCACTGGATATATATATATATATATACGGCATATATATATATATATATATATATAATGTGAATAATAAATATTTAATTAATAATATATATGTGTGTACTGTGTATATTTATTATGTATGCATAAATACACACACATACAGTATATATTTTGAAAATATTTGCATTTATATATTTATATTCATATAATTTATATTATATATAATATATGTTTAATATATAAACAACATATTTTTCTTAAATATATGCATGCATGTGGGTTTATCTATATATACATAATAAATATATACAATATACACGTATATTATGTGAACAAAAACTTTTATTTTGGATGCGATTAATCGTGATTAATCGTTTGACAGCACTAATATATATATATATAAGTAGTAGTAATTTTAAAATGCTATGTGTTGCTCAGTCCTTCAACAAAAATTGCATATGCAAATAATATCTTAAAATAGTAAGGTATCACCTGTGAACTGTGTTGTTTCCTGTTGAATATCCCATGATTTAATAGGTGCTGTTTTGGTGCCATTGATTGGTAGTCATTATATTAAAGAATTAATAAATGATTAAGTAAAGACATGAATATCAGTAAACAGTATCGGTCTGTACCTTAAAAATCTTAATGTTATTGCATTAATAACAAAACAAAGCATCAAATCAAGTGTCATTAATTTAAAACACATTTCAAGCAAAGTTTTGGTTTTAAAGGTGATTAGTTGGTTTTTAATATATAGACTGTTAAAAATGTAGACCAAATTGCCCAGTAAACTTTGTACTGAGAAAAGCTTTAGCATTATTAATCAGATGCCATTGAGTTTGATCTTTTGTTTTCTAATACAATTATGTATATTTTATAAGTATCAATTACGTATCCAAATACTACTTAGTGGCCACTGTGTGATTATACATTATATGAATTTTAGTCTCCAACTATTTGAATGGGCCTTAATGACCTGTTAAACACATTTGTTAGTAATAATTAATAAGCTGTTGTGTTAAATGTATCATTAAACCAGTGTCCCATGACATTGCTTATAGACAATGGAAGTGCATATTGTACGTGCAGGATCACAGGTTTGTAAGATGATCCAGTTCTTTGGGTTTTTTCCTTTAAGCTAGGGGGTGTGTCTTAAATCGACACTCATCTACTGCTGCACACTGACATTGTACATCATCCTTTGTACACTTGTGTTTCAGAGTATCAAATGCAGCTAAAAATGGATAATGAAGGAGAAATTGCTCTATATAGAATATATGAAAGCCTAGTTTGAGCCTTATTGCACTGAACGCAATGCACGAAAGCACACAAGGTCACACATTTCCACGCAACCATTAGAGGTCACACATGCCCTTACAAAAATAGCTTTAAGGGAAAATTCTAAGTTTGTCTTAAAGAATAAAAAAGTTTTTTTTTTTTTAATGATTTTTTTTTTATATTAATATATTGATTTGGCTTTAGTGTATTTATTTTAATTTGCCTATTTTAATGTGTCTGAAATGCTGTCTAAGTAGTCATCTCATTAGATTTTGGGACCTAGCCGTTGTCTTATGACGGATATGCGTGGCATTAGTAGTCATGGTGCGTCTCCCATCATCAACTTCACTGATTCGCTCTCTTTTGCTCTATGAGTCATCTTCTGATGGCTATAGAATGAGAAGGCCAAGTCTGCGTAACACTTTAGGACCCCATTAGAAAGGGAACCATTGTGTTTGCTTGAATGACGAAGCCGTGTCCCCAGTGCCCTGGATTCCTTCCAGCGTTTGCTGAATGAATGGCCATACGTTAGTAGCAAAGATGTGTGTTAAAGAGTTTTTGTCCTGATGTATGGGGATGTACTCTAGGGGGATATGATAGAATGTACGTTATATAAAACATGAAATACTTGATGATTATCCAGACAATGTTAGATTAGATGCATTAGAGTAGAGTACACCTATGGGATTGTTGAAAATCACTTTACATAATAATTTATATAATTGCAGAATCCTCTCTAGATCTTACACTGCCAGCCAAAAGTTGTGAATAATTAAGATTTCTTAAAGTCTCTTCTGCTTGCCAAGGTTGCATTTATTTGATCACAAATACAGCGAAAACTGTTATATTCTAAAATATGATTTTAAAAATTAAAATAATGTTTTTTTTTATCTTAATAATCTTTTAAAATGTAACTTATTCTTCGAAAGTGAAAGCAAAAAAGCCTCATGCATACAAAAGCAATTGCACTGCCCCGCTCAACGTGATTTCTCCACTTACCCCAAACTTTGGAATGATAGTGTATCACAGATTTCACAAAATATTAGGCAGCAAAAACTGTTTTCAAAATTGATGATAATTAAAAAAGTTTCTTGAGCAGCAAATCAGCATATTAGAATGGTTTCTGAAAGATCATGTGACACTGAAGACTGGAGTAATTCAGCTTTGCATCACAGGAATAAATTAAATTTTTAAATATATTCAAATAGAAACACTTCAATTTAAATTGTAATAAAATTTCACAATATTTCAGTACTGTATTTTTGATCAAATAAATGCAGCCTTGGTGAGCACAATAGACTTCTTTCAAAAAACAGTAAAAGATCTTAATTATCCCACTTTTTGGCCGTCTCCCACTATCCTTGGGAAAATTCCAATATTGTTTTCCTGTCTTATTCAATAATAGACTAAAAAACATTTTCCCAAGATGTATAAAGTTACGCTGAATGTGTGAACTGTAACAGCGATCATGATGTCTCTTCCAAAAGCAGTGTTTGTCTTTGGCACTGCCCTGGATGCCTGCAGTGAGAAAAATGTTAAGACTTGATCAATGTTGTGTTAGCACTTGGGTTGCAATTCCTTTCTGTCTTGATGGATAACTTGATTTCATTCTCATCTGGTTATTTAGATAGAGAAGATGTCAGTGTGTTTTGGATCTAAAGTCTCAACCACCTGTGGTAGAGGGGAAAGGTCATGGAAACCAACCGCTGGGAACATTTCACGAAGACCATCAATTCCTCCGAAAACAATAAGTGATTCAAATAAGACGTGCCAGCTCGAGAAATATGAGATGCATGAGCGTCCAGTGAGAACTGGCTGACTCTTGGAGCTCTTCTTGCTCAAGTAGTTACTTTACCCCCAACAAGCAGCTCTAAGGTAACAGAATTACAGTCTCCCGGTGCAGGTCGCCAAACTCAACGTGTCGTCTTTGTGTGGAATACTGATAGGCTCCTGAATTGTTTTGCCAAATCAAATCAGGCCCGTCAAAGACCAAAAAGGTCCTGCTGGCAGGAGGAGAGTAAATACGGTTCATGTCACACATTCTTGACTTTTACTGTGTTCACAGGTTGAGTCTGTGAGATACTTGTGATATTTACTTTCCACATTCTCAAAAGACAAATTTAGCCAGGTCCAATTTAAACCTGTGGAATCTATTATTTGTGTATAGATGGGTTTTGTCTTTCTTAGAAGGAACAGTTCACCTAAAAATAAAAATTGTGTTTGAAAACCTGTATCACTGGAAGGACAAAATCCAAATTGCTCGTGTTATGAAAGTGAATGGCAAGATTTTCATAATTAATCACTTAAAAATAACCAATATTTTTTTTAAAGTTCCCCTATTATGGAGTATTAAGTGTTTTTTGACCTTGCATGCATGTCAACCTCTTGTTGGGGACTCCCAAAACCAAAATATGAACCTTTCACCACCCATAATAGGGGCACTTTAATATAAAATATATTTATAAAATATATAAAAATATATTTTTAAATATAAGACTAAAAATAGTGTGATATTTTCAACATTATTTCATATTATTAGTATACTATTATAGCTTTAATTAGTATTTTAAATTAGCGTTTATTTTTATATTTCCGTTTTTCACAGTCCACATTTTAGTAACTTTATTATGTGCTTTTATCATTTTATTACTTTGTATTATTTAGCTTTCATTTATTTTTATTTCTATTTCAGTTTTATTAATATTAGTAATTAAACTTAAGATAGTTGCTAAGGCAACATTTCTATTTTTTTAAAAGTTTTCTATTGAATATTTACATTTTATTTCAGCTCATTTCAAATAGGAAAAATATTTTTTAATAGTTTTAGTTAACAAAAACAACACTGATGCAAGAATGTAAGTCATACAAGTTTGGAACAGCATGAGGGTCACTAAATAGTACATTTCTATTGCTGTGTCACCTGTTTATTTAATATATCGCAGTAATTGCTAAAGAAAAATCTTTCTCTGCATCCCTCTTTAACTGGAGGTGTTGGTATCTGGAGATTTTTCAGTTTTGGTACAATGTTTCTAATTTGTTCCTAGCCAAATCACTCATGAGCTAATTGATTTCCTATAGACTTCACAAGAGGTTTCTCTGCACCTGAACTGAAGATTTGCTAATTTCCCTAATTCCCCTTAGAGAACTCAGTCTCTATTAAAACAGTCTAAAGTTCTTGATGTGAACCAATTAAAGTTAAGAGACCCCTGTTGTGTTAATCTGTAGCACTCAATTAGGTAAGAATCACTAAAACTATTCCTCATATTTAAGCCTAGAGATTTGAACTAACCCCTAAACCTATTAAACTTCTGCATGTACTACAGTATTTGTTACTGTTCATGAATTTAAAGCACATAACTTGATAACAC